TATTGGTGCTCATTTATTAATAATGGGTATTTTTATTATTAGTGCTGCTCAATGTTTTTGTAGAAACATGATAATTTTTTAGGATTCTTTGATGAATCGAAAGTTCAGTGAACAGTATTTATTGGAAAATTACTTTTTTAGTAATATTATAAAAATCTTTATACTTTCACATTTAATAAACTAATGTGTCCTTGCTGAATAAAAGTATTGATTTTTTTCTTTTCTTTTCTTTTTAATCTTACCCCAAACTTTTAAAGGGTTGTGTATCATGGTTTCCACAAAAATATTAAGCAGCATGACCTGTTTTCAACATCGATAATAATCAGAAATGTTTCTTGAGCAGCAAATCAGCATATTAGTATGATTTCTGAAGGATCATGTGACACTGAAGACTGGAGTAATGATGCTGAAAATTCAAAAAAAAATATATTTTTTAAATTCAAATAGAAAATAGTTCATTCAAATTGTAATATTTCACTATATTACAGTTTTTATTGTATTTTTGATCAAATAAATGCAGCCTTGGTGAGCATAAGAGACTTTTAAAAACATTAACACTTTTTTAAAAAAAGTTCCAATCATTGTACTTCAAGTGTCATCAATCTAGCCTCTGTAGATCCTCCAGCTCATCGCCAGAGGGCTCCCTCACCTGAGTATTGACTATTATCTCCCTGGACTCCATTTCCCATAAACCCCATAACTGGATGCTATCTCACCTGTTCCCCATTGCCTGGACACCTCCACAGTCTCATTGTGAGATCTTCTTTTGCTCTGACTGACAATTCTGAGCGTTATTCTGTTACTGTTTGCTTTGCCCGTATTTGACCCTGAACTGTTATGACACTTTGCTGCCTGCTTGGATATTTATTTTATTTAGTGATGGTGAAATGAAGCTTTGTGAAGCACAGAGGCTTTCCCTTCAACTGTATCGTAAAATGGTTCATTACTCAACGCTTTTCAACATGGAAAATGGTGCCTTTGCGTCCCAGTTTCAAATAATAACTCAATTTGTGCTATGAAAACCATATAAAGCAAAAAAATAAATAAATAAATGTCATTGTACATATACAAAGTATGAATAAATAATTATGTGAATAAATGAATGAAAAAATAAGCATGGTTCATGTAGGCATATGTTTAAAAATAAATTAATATTATTGTGGAATGGTCAGTTGAAGTGTTTTTGAAATGGGGATTAATACAAACAACATGCACAAAACCACACATGTAAATATTTATTGGTATTATGATTTATTCTTATCAAAGAAGTGAATGACAATTGAAACCTGCGCAAGGGGTTCACGTTATTTGAATCAGAACACAAAGCTGCTTGCCCTGACCCTGTGCCTAATTTTTGACTAGACTGCATACAGACTGAATAGGAGAGGTTCAAGAACCGAACCTTGGGGGACACCACGTCATTGAGGTCCATTTAACGTTGTCTATGTTTGCACAGTAACCCCTGTCTTCAAGATATGACCTAAAAGAGACAAATCCAGTTTTCCAGTTTGTCTAAGAGTGTATTGTGATTGAGAGTGCAGCACTAAAAATCAGTAAGATCAGCAATGATATTTTACCTGACTCAATATTTAGTTGAATAGAAGCATGGTCTGTGTGCTGTAATGTGATGGGACACCAGATTGGCAATTGTCCAAGTAACTGTTTGAGTTAAGTTATTTGGCTTATTGAAAACAACCTTCTCAATGATGTTGCCTGTAAAAGTTGCAGTAGAAGCAGGGTGCACCAGAACAACTGAATCGTTAATTAATTAGTAATGAGTATTAATTAATTAGTTATTTGTAACAGATCATTTCAAAAAAACTTTTTTGGCAGTTTCATTATGCAATCTTTTTACCTACACTGTAAAAAAAAATTCTGTAGTTTTTACAAAATAATTTTGGCAGCTGTGGTTCCCAGAATAATTTTGTAAAAAATACAGAAAAACTGTAAACACATTTACGGCCAAAACCTGTAAATTTTACAGTATAAAACTTTAATTTACAAACAAGAAAATTTGAATGTAAACCAGTAAATTCAACAATGCACACTGCTATTAAAATCTGTTTTGTACATGATATTTTACAGTTTTTCCCTGTATATAGTACGGGAACTTACTGTTAACCTATGAACAGTTTTTTTCCGTAGCGTTTTTACAAAATTTTACAGTTAAAATTACACTTATTTTTTACAGTGTAGATTTTCCCATGTCCCAAGATTCCGCTGATATAACCACAAGACTTTTTGAGAGTGCAGCTGCTTCCACAGATGTCCCTCCATCTTCATGTCATGGTTGGCATAGAAGACTAGAGGCTTCATGACCTTGTCAAAGTAATGGTCAGAGAAGTCTTTGTAATTTTCTGTGATGAAACCATATGCAGAGACCTGAGTGAAGAGCCAGCATGCACAACATCTATTTAAAAACAGATGGAACAGTAGGTTTTGGGGCCATTCTAGCAATAAAACAGCTTTTATAAATAAGGATTTCAAATGCTGTTTTAATGATGAAAAACATTGGAGGTTTGTTGACCTGGTCTCAAGTGTGTAAAGCGACCAAAAGCATCAGTGCACCCGTGTACAAATCTCTATATTGCTCCAGCTGTGGAGATTTTAGGAACCTGTTAATCATTAATACCATGGCATTACATTAAGGGAGAGAAAAAAATGAATGTGTCAAAATGATATGTAAACTAATGTGGAGGAAAATGTTCTCACCTTTGAGTCACATATTGAATGAAGGATGGATCATCTTGAACTGATGTGGTTCGGGATTATATCCAAAAAAAGTTCTGAGGGCCTGTTTTAATAATCAAATAAACTCAGCAGTTAGTTAGTATGCAAGGTACATAAGTTAATGTTATAATAAAAACTCAAACACAAACTGGTAGAATGCCTTTTAGAATTCCAGTGTAATGCAACTGAATTCAAGTAGCAAACAGAATACAGAATAATTTTGAATTTAAGGAAGAAAAATAAAAATGGAATAAAATTTAGAAATTCATAAAGCATTTAATTGTTCAGTATTATTTACCTATAAACAAATTATCATACAAAACTCATATAGGCAATTTTTCAGAAACATAAATCATTAATATTTGAGTTGAAGTGTACGGCTCCCCATTATACAAAGTGAATTCAGGTACATTTGGCCATTTATTGCGTTTCATTTCAACATCGACAGTGAAATCAGCCTGGTGATTATATTATTTTTCAAATGGTTATTTTTAATTATTTTAATATTTTGTTACTCATTGTCATGGATCACAAGATGTTACAGGACAACAACATAATATTTTCTGTAAAAAGTGTCTTATATAGCTGGAAATCTGGATTTCTTGTTGTCCGAATTAGTCAGTGTATTTTTTCAATCGTTGTGTAATCAAAATATTTCATTTGAATTTCTTTTGGTAATATTTCATTTATGTTATTTATAAGAGCCCTAAATAGTAATATTCCTAATTCTACAACATTAAATTGTTTAACAAGAACTTTTTTTTCTTATTAAAAAATTTGTGTCCATAAATCTTGCATCAACTCCGTTATAGTATCATACTTTGCCTTTAAATTAGTGGAATTATTTCCCACAACTATGTAAGATACAGGAAATGATCTCACTTTCCCTCACTGATAAGATCTGAAGCACTGAAAAGTATATGTGACCCTGGACAACAAAACCAGCCATACGGGTCAATTTTTTAAAATTGAGATTTATATAGCTGAATAAATAAGCTTTCCATTGATGTATGGTTTTGTTAGGATAGGACAATTGCTCTCTCTGAGAAAATATTTTAATCTGAAGTGCTCTTACACCAAGAGTTCTTTTATAAAACGTCAAAATTGTTACCACGATATCAAAAGGAAAACAATTTATCATTGATCACACATTGGGTTATTTAAAATTCTTTTAATCATGATTTCATTAGTGCCATGTGCTCTTAGCATTTATGCTAGCAAGTGGAGTTTTTGGCTAAAAAACTGAAAATTGTCAATTCTGTTACCGTCAAACTCCATTACCAAGTTAGAGTAACAATGCTGCCAGTATGTAACAGAATTGACAGTCCACCAGTCAATTCTGTTAATTCTCTTATACTTTACAATTCTGTTACTTAAAGGGTCAACTCTGTTTATGAACTACACTGAACAAAATTATAAATCCAACACTTTTGTTTTTGCCCCCATTTTTCATGAGCTGAACTCAAAGATCTAAGACTTTATCTATGTACACAAAAGGCCTATTTCTCTCAAATATTGTTCACAAATCTGTCTAAATCTGTGTTAGTGAGCACTTCTCCTTTGCCGAGATAATCCATCCACCTCACAGGTGTGGCATAGCAAGATGCTGATTAGACAGCATGATCATTGCACAGGTGTAACATTACAATCTACAATTGCTCTTTAAAGCATTAAAATAACTAAATTAAAAGTTAAAATCACTGAATTAAAAATGAAAATAAAGAAAGAAAATAACTACATTTTAACTGCTATAAGAAACACACACTAACTCATTTGAGCTTAGTAATTAGTGCTGTAGCCTACTAGCTTACATTTGATTTACCTATTACAATAGAACACTTACAGTTACTGCTATCATAAAAATACACTTTATATGAAGGGTTAGAATTCTACAAAAGACACATTTAATGTCCAAAAACAATTTTTTTTAGCAAAATGTATATTTTACTCAGAATTATTGCGCTCCTATTCGAGTGCGCTCCGTCTGTTTAGTTGCAGCAATTGTAGATTGTAATGTTCTGCTATCTGTATATATATATATATATAAAAAAGTTTGTTTTTTTTTAGTTTTCAAAATTTCAGTACAGCACAAGGTCAGGAATAAAGCATATAACGGAAACGATTCTGCATTACTTGGAAAATCATATCCTGGTCAGTATCTGGTGGGCTGTCATTGAAATCCGTGTGACATCTTTTAGGGGCCATTTTGAAACTATTTATTTAAGAAAACTATTCAAATAACACCCAAAAGTGATATAATAAACAAGCATGCACATCATTAAAAAAAAATAAAAATCACTCGTTAATACAATTATATATAAAAAAGAAAAACAATTTTGCAAAAATAGGCTTGAACAAAAATCCGTATGATATAATAAACAGACCCATCATTTTCTAGTTGTAGTCATCATTTGGTGCGTCTCACACACACACCTTTGAATGACACTCATTCTTTCATTCATAAGAGAGATTGCGTCTAACGCCAGCCTTTGATCTGCTCGCATATTACGCATTTCATTTGCCAACTCTGTGACATCCCTTTGCAGTGCACGAAGTCTATTTATCATCTCAGTGAAATCAGTTCTGCTCCACTCCATATTTAAAAGAATCAACTTTGTGATGGGTTGAAAACAGGCTGCCACTTCGGCTCGAACAACACGTACAACGTCCTTCTGGGTGGAAGGCCGATTGACAGAACTGTTACTGTCGTGTTGTCGAACAACATGTTGGCGTTGGGTGTCGCTGCTGGACTTTGATAATTCATAAGCCTCCCAAGCAGCCATTTCACCATCGATCCATAGCTCCGCACATCTCACGTCGTAGTCTGGTAAACCTGTGAAACAGAAGATTCGTTTGTATTATCATGCGACAGTTTAAATACACAATGGTTACTACAGATGATTATTACATACATTCTTTCCCGTTATCCTCTGATGGTCTCAAACGCCGTTTCACAGGAACATCAGAGGGGTTGTCCGATTCCCTCTCCCGCTTTTCCCCACATCTCAAGGTGGACGTGTTGCATCCATTGGACTTGGGCTCAAGACTCTGTGTTGTTGTGTCCTGGAGTGAATCCCTTGGCGTCACTGCTACACCGCCGTCACAGGGTTCAGACCCACGGTTACTGCCACTCAAAGGTACTGATACCACCGTTTTAAGGTTATCCGGGGCTGCTGATTTATCAGGTGCACATGACGACGGGACACCTGATGGCGTAACAAGCTGACTTTGAGTTGTATTCTCTTCACCATTTGTAAGACGACGAGCATCGTCAACTGAAAACAGAAAAAAACTCTTGCTTAGAATATTGTGTAGCCAACTAAAAACAGCTTAACCCCTATAATGCATTCAAAATCTGTACACGATTTTCACAGTCGGTCAGTTTGGACCCGAAGAATTGTTGTTTTATAAAACAGCCATAACTTAATATTTTTCAACTAAATCTATATTGTATATGATCAGCAACTTCTCATTAATGAGTGAAACATTGATTGGCTGAATCTCAAACAATACTATAACTTCTTGCATTCTTGTACTCGGCTTAAGTTCTTTTTCCTTTGCTAACTGTATGCATGTATGTGAACAGTTTAAAGGTGGGGTAAGCGATTTTCCAAAAACGCTTTAGAAAACTGATTCGGGCCGACTAGCAAAACAAACTTGTAGCCAATCAGCAGTAAGGGGCGTGTCTACTCATGATGTGGAGGAGAGAGCGTTCAGTGCTCACATTAGCGAGCCGAGCGACAGAAAGATAGAGATGGCGGATAAAAAACAAAAGAGGAAAACGTCTGCGGAACAAAAGAAGGCTTAAGGCAAGAAGTAGGACCCGTGTAAATATCGGATCAGCTTTCCAGCGCTGGAGAGAACTCAAGGAGCGGAAGGCCTGCGATCGGACGCTGAGGTTGCTTTGTTTCTTCTCGATAGGTGAGTAATTTGTCGTGTCGTGCCGCATCCAGTACAGACCATAGATATGTATATATATCTATGGTGTAGACAGCATCACTGATTATAATGAGTTCTATTGTATTTTGTCGCGCCGCGCCAGTGCGGCCTAGGTGATTGTGTGTTACAAACACGTACGTCTTTGTGTACA